ACCTCTTCGACCCCGTTTTGCCTTTATACTTCTCCTTCATCACCGATCTATTATCTTCAGCGCTCTTCACTAGAAACTTTAGATCTGGCCATTTTCAATGCTAATCTACTATCTTTGATGTCGATCTAATATCACATATCTCGTCGACATCGAGATGTAATACTTACATGGTTGTTGGAGCTCCTATCTGTTTATACTAGTGATAAGTTTATTAGTAAATTTGTTGAATATGTTTGTTTTTATATTAAACTTGATAAATTAACATTGCTAAATTTATCATTTGTAATAGTGATGGCTAGATTTTCCTTCTGTAATTTTTTTACAAACAATCAATGATAAATTTACCACTGAATGTCTCTTTGACTCTTTGTAATGGTAATGACTAGATTTTTCTTCTATAACTATTTTTTACAAACAGTCAGTGATAAATTTATCACTGAATGTGTTAATGATAAATCTATCATTGAATCTGACTTTTGATTCTGTCTTGATCTATGAATGTGAAAAATAATGAGAACTATTTTCTGGTAATGGCTCTTCGTCTTTCTCTTTCATTCTCTTCACCATTTTTCTTCTCATTTTTTTTTTTTTTTTTGTGTTGCCACTAGATCTGAAGACGTGGTGGTGGTAGTGATGTAATAGAGATGAAAAATGGCCAAAAAAAATATTGTCGGAGGTTGAAGGATAGTGGCAATGGTGGAGGTTGCTGGAGGTGATTACAATGGTTGGGTGATTGTGGGTCATGGTAGTGACGTGTATTGAATGTAAGAGTCAAATGTTTGGGTTATCAAGGGTAAATGGGAAGATGGGCTAAATTATTTTGGGTCAAGACCAATGGGTATTAAGTCTAGTCCAAAAGATCAGCCTGTAATTTACCCAAAAAGTTTTTTGGACGAGATAGTTTGAGTTAGGCTGATGGGATGGTTGCGCGAGGCTTACCCATGTGGACTTTTATGAGCTAGGTTTATGGGTGAGCTCGGGTTACAAACCTTTGTCCAAAATCCAAAATCATCTTTATGAGTTGGGATGGAATGGGGACTCAAGTGGGTTGGAACGAATCATGGGATGGATGGGATAGGTTGAAACAAATAAAAATAATGCACCCAACATCTAGATGTGAAAAGTAAAAATACATATCAATTCAAACAGAGGGAAGAGTGCACAAAATAACTATTTTGAAGTAAGACTACACAATCCATTCTTCTAAAATCACTCACGTGAAGTTTTTTTTTCCTTAAGTATTCCTCACTTGCAATTGATTTATAAATTTGGGATATGGATCTCCTTCGGTTCATAATCTAAACTGAAGGGCACTATTTGAGCATGTAGGGTTTGCAACATATTCCATTTTGATGATTCAAATTATTTATTTTGTTTGGCATTGCATGTATATCATTCCCAAAAAATATTAGGTCGATTTGATAATTATATCCTATTCAATTTACTAAGTTTTTCATAAAAAAATAGAAGACAATTGCATTTCTAAAAATAAACATTCATTTTTTTGGTAATAAATTCAATAAATTGAATATGTTACGATTATCATATTGGCCTAATTTTTTGTGTGGAAAAAATGCACAAAATATCCGATACAATAAATAACTTGGATCATCAAAATAGGATACGTGGCAAACCCCACGGGCCCAAACAATATCTTCCAATCAAAATTATGGATTGAAGGTAATTTATCTTTGGGGCACTAACTTGCAGGTCCTATTTCAACAATTCAAGACCCATTTTGTCTCAAAACAAAACATTTGCACCAATTAGTTATACATGTTTTCAATTATTACAAAAAAGATTTTTTTTTTTTAAAAAAAAAAAAATTTAAGGACGCTGCACATCTCACCACTGTCAGACCTCTGCCAGACTTTCGTCACCGGATGCTCACCGGAATATTCAACATTGTCAGGAAGTCAAAAAAGTATTGTTGGACATCGAGAACATCACTACAAACTCATTTGAATGTCCAGAACATCACCGCGGGGGAAGGGGGGGAGAGAGAAGAAAGGGAGAAATTAGAGTGAAAACATAGTAAAAAATAACATCCTCCTCTCAACCACCACAAAACGCGAAAACAATACTCTTTATCATACAGAGCACAAAATTTTCAGTTCACAAAATAGTAAGAATTTAGAGTATGAATTTATTGCTCATCAAATTGTATAATTTTTAGTTTTAAAACTACAAAAACTATCAGTTTGCTCATTTGCAATTTATCAAAATACAATTTCATGTTGCAAAGATGGTGGAGATCTCAGATAGGTAATTTCTAAGGGTTTGTAGTTTTTCAATTTGTCAATATTTGTTAAATTTTCTTATTGTTTTAATAAAGAGGAGGGGGGGAGGGGGGAAAAAGGGCTACAGTCATAGAGAAAAGCACAAATGTATCTTCCAATTATAAAATTTTACAATTTTCACTACCTGTAACTAAAACTCCAAAAATATTTGTTCAAGATTTGAAAATTTTCTCCATTAAAACAAGAAAATAGAAGAGTATAGTATAAAAAAAAGAAGAAAAACTAAGAGATTGAATGAGAGAGACAGACATAGAGAGAGGATTGTAATCCGACAACCATTTTTAGTTTAGATTTAGCCAGATCTGGTATAGATCTACTTAGATCTACTCGAAATCTGAACATTCGGTGAGTCTTATCTTGTAATCTTGGCCAAATCTGAGCAGATCTATATCAAAAATATCACTGAAAACTCATCTCTTTCACCATTAGTGAGGACGAAGCAAAGAGTCGGTAGTTGCCAGTGAATCCCAATCGATGGTGGTTGTCGATGAGTGCATATTAGAAAGAGAAAGAAAAGAAGGAAGGAGCTTTAGGTTGTGATTGTCGGTGATGTATATCATAAAGAGAAAAAGAGGAAAGAAGGAGACTTAAAATTTTTGGGTCTACACAAAAGGTTATGAGATTAAATGGGGAGCAAGTCTTTATATCAAGATTTCTAAGCAATTCTCCCTTTATCTTTATCTTTATCTTTTTCATTTTGTAAGTACATAGAAGGGCTTTCACTTCGTAGCTGGATAGAGTCTTGTAAAAGAGAAGGTTTTTATTATTATTTTTATTTTTTGAAGCAACTCGTCTCCAACTCGTGATTAGTTTATCTTTAAAATCATACAATTGTTTATTTTTCTTAGATAAATGCGATCTAATCAAGTGATTACTGACATCCAATCAATTTATTTGTTTATTTATTTTTTGTAGGAATCTTGGTAACCAACCTCTGATATGTTGCTCTTACATTCTTCAACCCAGAGGGCATCACCCTATATAGTAAAGTCCTTTTGGGGTGATGAATGTTGTATTCTCTTCATCTGGGGCATACATTGTTATTTGGTGGTACCCTTTGTCTGCATCCAGAAAGCTCATTCTTCCATACCCTGGTGTGGCATCAACAAGTTGATCAATCTTGGACAGGGGGAAGCAGTCCTTTGGGCATGCTTTGTTCAGACTAGTGAAGTCTACACTGACACTCCACTTGCCATTCTTCTTCTTTACCACCACCGTATTGGACAGCCAGATGGGGTAGTTCACTTCTCGAATTGCTTGTGCTTCTAACAGTTTCTCCACCTCTTCCTCTACTGCCTGTACATGGACTAAAGTTGGTCTTCTTACTCTCTGAATCACTAGCTTGGCCGACCTATCCATGATACGTTTGTGGTAGGTGACCTTGGGACTAATCCTCAGCATCTCATAGGTTGTCCAAGCAAACACTTCTATGTTTTGTCTAAAAAAAAAGTCTCTATTTTTTTTTTCTTCCTCGGCTAAGCCAAAGCCAAGAAAGAAGAATCGCTCCTCATCACCTTCCTATACAAGAACCTTTTTCAAGGGTTCTTCGTTCTTGTTGGAAAGTTCTTTGCTGACATCATCCAAGACCTCCCGATCTTCACTTTCAATCTCTGCTATCTTTGCATCCCTCACATTGCAGGTGTACTTCATTGCTACCATAGAGCAATTTTTCACTTTTACTTGGTCTTCCCTCACTTCTTTAATCCCCTATTCAGTTGGAAATCGCAACAGTTGGTGCAGCGTTGAAGGAACAACCCTCATTGCATGCAGCCAACATTTTCCCAGAATGATGTTGTATGAGGAGAGGGTATCTATCATGGTGAATTCTGTAATTACCTTCTTGGTCCCTACCTATACCTCTAGACTCGTGGCCCTTAGAGGCCATGTCGGTGTCCCATTGAATCCGACCATCGGGTTGTCGGATTACTCTAGATCATCCTTGTAGAGGCTAAGCTCCTTGAAACATCTAACGTACATGATGTCACAAGAATTTTCTAGATCAACTAGGATGTGCCTCACTTAGCAATCTCTTACTTTCAATGTCACTACCAGAGCATCGTTATGTGGATGTCGTACCAAATTAAGGTCCTCTCCAGTGAAAGATATCATAGACACCTGATGTCCACTTGACTTGGGTTTCTTCTGCTGGACCTGGTAGATATGCTGCAGATGCCTTACCATCTGAGTCTTCCTTCGAACTTCATTCTCATTGACCTTCAAGTGAATCACATTGATTACCCATGGTCCCTCTGTTTATAGCGATGGTGTTGGCGGTGGTGCTATAGATGCCTGGGCCAGCTTCGCTTGTTCCTCTCTTATTTTTGCTTCGTCGATTAGGTCTCTCAGGTGTCCCTGTTTGACCAAATCTTCCATATGCAACTTCAGAGCTCGACACCCCTGGGTTATGTGCCCGTCTTCCTCATGGTAGGCACAGTGCTTACTAGGGTTCTTGTCTATGAACTCCCTTGGGGTTTTTTGTGGAGCCTTGTAGTATGGCTGGTTTTTAATTCTCTCCAAGACCTTATAGACGGGGATCTTGAAAATAGTACTTACTGCCTACATGGATCTTAACCCTAACTTCGGCCTGTCAGCGCTGGTATTTCCTTGGCCTCGCTTTGGCGAGCTATGTCTCTTTTTTTGTTTTGATGTACTTGTCTTCTTTGCCTTCTTGTCTTCCTTTGCCCTGGCGTACTCTTCAATTTATGCCATTAATTCTTCCATGCTCTTCGGGAGTGTCTTCGTGAGTGATTGCCGAAGTGGGCAATCATCATCCAAGCCGTTCTTAAAGGACACAACTGTGAGTTCCTGGTTACATGCTCGAATCCAATTATGAACCTCATAGTATCTCTTGGCATAGGCCCTAAGACCTTCACCATCGCTGATCTTCAATGTCAGTAGGGAGTCTACCCTTAGTGGCAGTAACTTGTTTGTAACAAAACAAGCTACAAACATCTCAGCCAAGCCTGCCCAACTCTTCACGTATCCTTTCAAGTGTTTGTGAAACCAATCTGATGTTATTTCTCCGAATGACGATGGGAATACTTTGCACAATAGCTGCTCATTCCCACTCCGCAAAGCCATTGAATTCAAATATAAACTAACATGAAAGTTTGGGTTAGACTTACTATCATAAACCTGAAACCTTGGCATGCTAAATTTCTTCAGTGCTTCGAACACATCTAACTCCACCGAGAATGGCGTCTTCAGCTGGACATTTGATGTGATCTCAACATTGTGTCTCTTCCTCTGGAGGTAATCTCTCAGGCCCTCATTCGTTCGTTCAAGAGCTTGACTATCAATCGACTTCAGCCTTTTCGGCGCCCTGCTTCCGGTGTTAGGATGCATTCTCTTGGACTTCTCCATGTCCACTGCATCATCAAAACAGAGGCATTGCCCTTGGATCTACCAAGATCCCTTGACATAGGTCCCCTTGGTTTGTGGTGTTCTCTGTGACTCTTCTCGTACAGACTCTGTCCTTCTAGCATCTTGTTATTGCCGATGTGAAGTTTTCTATCCCTTAGCATGCTGCGAGATAACAGGCATTGTCTTCTGTCCTTCCTTCTAGACACCGGCCTTGGTTGCTGGTGCCGGTGTATCTTGTAAGGGAAACGCTGGTTGTATCACATTGTTTTATATCATGAAGTTGATGACTGTCTGCAAGTCTGTCAAGTTGTTCACCATATCCTTTAGTTCCTTATCCCTTCTTAGGCATCTATCTTTCCCCACTTGGAGATTTCCTTCGTGGTAGTACTCATCTCAACTATCCTTCATGTTTCCATTTCGGCCCCGAGCGACATTAGTCACCTCAGGGTCAACCTCTTGTACTTCTTCGTTATTGTTCCCTCCTTCAGTGTTAGGACTCATATGTTCCTCCTCCTCACTGTAAATGTCATCCATAATCCTTACTTCCTGTCTATTGTTGGTCGTCTATTTTATACTAGTTTCCACAGACGATGCCAAATTGTGAGTGTTGATTTTCGACCACACAACTAAATAGGGAACTTAGCTGGAGAGCACACCACAAAATAGATTATGCCAACCATCTGCCAACAAGAAAATGAGAATACCGTGGTGGTTCGTCCATCCAGGGGCACTTTGACGATCAAGTCAGTCAAACAATTTCTCAAAGATCTCGCATAAGTACTCAACGCACAAATTAAAGCATACCTTAGACCCATGGGGGTGTGTCACTTTTATAGCCAATAGTGCCCTCGTCCCCTAGAAGTCTCATTTCATAGGATTCAAGCACTATACTTATCTTAGACTCTTAGTTAAATATGGATGAACTCCTCAAAAGTCTCATCCTTATTCGAACTAAGCGCATCGCTTATCTAGGACTCTTGTCCCCTATCCTGATATCTCATAATCCCAGTATTACCACACTGTACCTTGGCAATATCGCAATCATCTCGGCAACTATGACTCGCCCATGTGACACCTTAGCTGACATCCTAGAGCCACCTCAATCACATGGCGTCTTCCCCAAAATACTTCCCCACAACATGGGCTAGAAGAAAGATTATATCTTTAATAAATTCTCTTCGTATGATGTATAGATAATTTGTAAGCTCTCTCGCTCTCAGCATCTTTTTCAAAAATAGTTATTTTATTGTTCGATTAGCTTATTTTGTGGCTTTAGATATAGAAAAGGGCCACTTGACAAGCTCGAGTAGAGAGTCAATGAACTGCTTTTGGAATAAATTATGGTCCCTCAAGGTTTCAAACAGGAGCGGATTTATGAAGAGGCCAGTGCCCCTCCCCCCTTAATTTTGCATTTTTTTGTGTGTGTGTGTGTGCATATAAAGAAAATAATTAACAAATAAAAAATTTGTATAAAAATAACATTTAAAATGATTTCTTAATGGTATTTTTTAAATTACGAAGATAAGAGTGGTTGTTTTAATTGAAAATTAAGAAACCACAATAATCCATATTATTATGTATGAAAATTTTATAAAAAAAAATTTAGTACAACAATGATAGCACATCATTATTTACATGAAAATATAGTTAATCCTACTACGAAAATTTAGAATTATTGAATTGTTAATTGCATTTGACAAGTGAGATTAACTCTCCATGCGTTATTTTTCTACTCATTAGTAATACCATATATCGATGATGATATGTTATCACTATTATTTGTATATTATTATATAATCTATTATAAGATATATAATACTCTTTTGCATTACTTATAATATACTAGTTGTATGTCATATTGTATTTCCAATTATGATCTTTCACAAGGCCAATTATGATCTTTTGTATTAAATATTTAAGATTTTCTACTTAATATTAATTAAAAAAATTATTATCTATTGTTATTAATTATGAAAAAAAAATTTGAAGCTAAAATTAATAAGTGTCCCCTCTGAACAATTTTTCTGGCTCCGCCACTGGTTCCAAATAAGGTTAAACTATTTGTATAAAAAGTTTGCTGTAATATTCTCCCAGTTGAAGAGAGACTCTTCTAAAATAAGGTCACGTTACATGCAATGTGTGTCTGTAATGAAACTAGTTTGATGAAACTAATTATTTAGACTTTTGGAGGTTGTGAAACTGTAGTGCCTTCAACGTTCAAGATTTGTAAAAATGCAGACTGCTAAAAGTAACAAAATTTGATGAAAACAGCTGAAGGATTTTGATTCTGAAACAATTAGAATCATATTGTATACTAGTGAGAAAAGAAAATTTTGGAAACATTGCATGTAATTGTTAAACTAGAGTTTACTAGGCAGGCATGGGGTTCAATTTGGAGGTTGTATAAATTTTCAACAAAACAAAAACATTAAAATTATCTTGATGGGATTATATGCAGAGTATAATATATCTAAATTATTAATTTTAATTTTAGAATTGTTATAATTTGCAGAGTATAATTTATCTAAATCATTAATTTTATAATTGTTATAATTTAAAACGTTAATTATATTGAATATGTGCTAATGGTTAATTTTTTTTTTCTTTTTTTACAGATTGTTTTTGCGTGAGCTATTGTGGATGTGTACGAAGAGCATTTGTTTTGTATATGGAAGACATTTATTTTGGAACAATCCTCTGTATGTGTGTCAATTTCCGACCACACTGCCAAACAAGTACTCAGCTGGAGAATACCGGCAGAATAGATTAAGCATGAACGACCTGTCACAGAAAGATAAGATTCCGGTGGTGGTTCGTCCACCCGGGGGCACTCCAACGATCAAGTCAGTTATCTCTCAAAGATAGCAAAAGTGCTTAACTCACTATTCAGAATACAAAAAGCGTACCTTAGACCCACGAGGGTGCGTCTCTTTTATAGCCAACACTGACCTAATCCCAATAGAAGCCTAGCTTCAATGGACTCTGACTCAATGCTAATCCTGGACTCTCAGTTAGATTGGGATAAACTCTCTAAGAGTTTTATCTTTATCCAAACTGAAGTCCTCTCTCATTCTAGGACTCTTGTCCCTTATCCGCTTATCCCAGATTCCGGTATCCTCGCAGATAACCTCGGCCTATCCGAGATTATCTCGGCGTCATGACCAGAACACGTGGTACCTCGGCTGGCACTTCGGTGCCACCTCGGCCACGTGTTGTAATTCAAAAATTATGTCCCCGCAACTGCCCCCCAGGTTTTATTACCTTGGCATCCTGAGATGATGGAACCTATATCGTTTCTCCCATTTAGCACATCGGCTAAGCTAGCTTTGTCCTTCATTACCGAGGTCATCATTTGTCGGCTAAATACGACCAAGACTTGGTCTGTTTTCATCAATGCTTCAGAACCAATAACCAAGTTTGTTTAAGTTTCTCAGCCGAGATCGTCCCTCTAGCCGAGGTCCTGCTCCATTAAATCAAGAACTCCAAGAGTTTCAACACGCGTATAAGCTGTCACGCACAGTATTTCAACCGTTTTTGCCACGCGTCCTTCCACTACTGAGTCATACCTGACACGCGCCACTAAGTCGCATTGCATTTGCGTGCGCCGTCTGACAAGCACGTCGTCCTAGGCACACTAATTGCCATTTTGCCGCCATTCTGCGTGTTTGATCAAAATCATCCCTCTCTCTCCGTCTTTTCACTTTTGCTTCTTCGCTTTCGTTCAAACTTTCTCTCTACTCCCAAATCCTCAATTGCTAATTTCGTGACGCTTTCTGGAACCACTTTCACTCTCCCCCTCCAACGAGGCTTTTGCTGCACTTCTTTGCTCACTACCACTGTCTGACACCGACGTACTTCACACCGGCCTTTTTTTTTTTTCCTCAGTAAGCGATTGTTCCTTTTTACTTCAATTTCTTGTTTCGCTTTAAACTGCTATGCTTGTACACTGCCATGGTGTTTTTATTCATGCTCTTAATTTGTTACTTTTGTGTTGATTTCCACCACTCATAATCTGTTTCGTGATTCTACTCTTGCACAATCTGTTGCTGGTATACATAAGTGGCACCTATATACTGTTCATATACTTGACATTCTTGATAGTTTAATATTGTTCTTGACTGGTGCACCTTTATTTTTTATACGATGTTCTTGAACCCCTTCTGGTTTTCTTGAGTTTGAATCTCTATTCTTCTCTGTTTCCTTCTTGTGTTCTCCAGATTCTTGCATTCAATCCTTGTTTCCGTAGCCTTAGGTTTGGGACTAGTTCTAGAACTTACAAACTTTAGAAAAAATTAAAACAATTTCCCTTTAGATCCTCAAAAACCCTTGCCCCAGCATTCGTTTAGGTTTTGCCGAGGTCCTTTAAACCCTAACAAACCACTTCCTTTTTCAATCCAACACTTTCCGCTTAAGCCGACGTCATGGGTATGTGGAGGTGGAAGGTAGACACCCCACTTAAGCTAGAATATTTCAGGCAGGAGTTCGCTATCCCTGCCGACGTTCACCTTAAGTTGGATGGGGAGGAGGACTCCATTATGCCCAAGGACGATTCTATGCCTTTTCCAGTCGTAGCTTTCGTAGAGTGTGGACATAGGCTCCCTCTCGATATTCTTTTCTGTGAAGTCCTTCACTATTATAAACTTAACCCAATTCAATTAGCCATTAACTCGTACAAAGTCATCAACGGCATTATAGCCTTAGCTAGCCGAGAAAATGCTAAGGTAACTCTAGCCAACATCTAGTACTGCTACACCATGTGTGGCCTTAAGTCAGAAAAAGGCTACATTTACTACCTTAAGCCGAGGTCAACGGAATACAAACTCGTCGCCGATCTCCCTGATTCCAATAAGGGCGCCAGGGACGATTATTTCATCGTCTCAGGAAACTGGGAGTTTCTTCCAGATGACGACCTTCACCTCTACCCTTTAAGCCGTACACTATTCAGAGAGGGAGATAGTAAGATCCAAGTGTTTACTTCTACTTGCTTCTCAAGTCTTTTTTACTTTGATATTTTTATATGTTCTAACGTCTGTATGTTTTATTTTGCAGTTCTTCCTCAGCCTCCAAAGGACTTCCGAAAAAACTTTTATCCCAGCAAGGATTTTAAGAAGCTACTAAACTTGCCCATCAATCAACGCAAGGCTCCTCTGCTCCTGAATTATATCCCGACTTACAAATCTGTCTTGCTTGACGTCCCGAAGAAGAGCAAGTCTCCTCCTTCCGCCACAACTCCTCCTACAACTTCATCACCTCGGCCGGATTAGGGATCAACCTCTGATCCCATAGAATAGCCATCAACCTCGGCTCCACAACTAATCCCGCATTCTCAATGCAAGCACCGACGTCGAATTGTAGCCATCGTCGAGATGGGTCGTAAGAAGGCTATAGCAGACGACCTTCTAGCCGATATCCCTAACTCTGAATGAACAAGTCTTGGACTTGACTCAGGATGAGGAAGATGAAGTCTCAAAGGGTGCCTCCTCCCAAAAGATAATCTCCGAGGTGCCAATCGCCGAGAGAAGCATCGATCAAACTCTACAAGAGATCGACGCCGAGCTCGAGGCTGAGAAGGCTACTGAGGAGATTCCCCAGTTGTCTTCTGGGATCGAGACCCAGCTTGCCGAGTAGTCTTGTTATAATCTTTTCCTTTGTTTCTTGTACCTTGTACTTTTTTTTTTCACTTTTGAAACAATGTTAGCTTTAATTTGGCCGATGTGCCACTTTTGTAATCTGAACAAGTAATCCCTTTGTAAGCCGAAGTGCCCTTTCTCATCTTTGATTGCAAGACAACTTCTTTTTTCAAGTGTTTGCATGTTTGTTTTTTTTTTTACTGTCTTGTATGATTCTATACTTAGAATGATTTGCGTGTCTTCAATTGATGTCTTTCTTGTATAGTCTCCTCAGATTAACATACCTCGGGCAAAACTTCCAATCTTGCTTATCTCGGCCTTGGCTTAACACTTGAAAACATTGTAAAAAATATTTTTCACAACTACTATACAAAAACCTGCCACTTTACTTTACTTAGCAAGACTTCTATCTTCAAGTATCTTCCAAGTCTTGGGAACATGGTAATCTCGGCAAGTACGTAGATACTTCTTTCAACATAATATCTGCATAATTTCAACTTGTAAATTTTTTCGTAAATTTTCAACAAGCGTTAAACCAGTCTTTAGCTTGTAAATTTCAACTCTCAAGCATCATTCTTCCAGCCCTCTGCCCCCTAATGTGAACTTAAGTTCCACTTGGATTCTCATTAAGCATGTGGCTTTGACCTCGTCGCTGAGGTGAGATTTAAACAAAGACTGGCCGAGGTTACCAACCTTGGTCTCTCTGTTAATCTATATACTTAGTTTCAATCTGTGTTTGTTTTTCCAATATGGCAAGTCCAAGTTAATTTCAACTTAGTTCAACTCTATTAAATGCAAGTATAATTCAACTTTGCTATATAATAAGTCTAAGTTATTCGTCATGTTTGAATCAGAAACATCGCCAACTTAGTTCAACTCTATTATATGCAAGTATAATTCAACTCTGCCATATAATAAGTCTAAGTTATTCATCATGTTTCAATCGGAAACATCGCCAGCTTAGTTCAACTCTATTATATGCAAGTATAATTCAACTCTGCCATATAATAAGGCTAAGTTATTCGTCTTGTTTCAATTGGAAACATCGCCAACTTAGTTCAACTCTATTATATGCAAGTATAATTCAACTCTGCCATATAATAAGTCTAAGTTATTCGTCATGTTTCAATTAGAAACATCGCCAAGTGACTAGTCAGTCATACTGCACAAGTTTTAAAAATCAAGCTAAGACTTTATTATTACTTTGGCTAATACCAAGAAACAAAAAATCTAATGATAGAAAAACTTCAGATTGCAAGTATTCCAGGGTCTTGGCAACTCTTTACCTTCACTGTCTTCAAGTCGGTATGCACCATTGCCCAGGACCAAGATGATTCTATACGGTCCCTCCCAATTTGGGCCAAGCTTGCCCTCTCTGGAATCCTTCTTGTTGTCGACAACCTTTCTGAGGATGAGGTCCCCAACTTGGAACTCTCGTGGGTTAACCTTCTTATTATAGGCCTTGGCAAGCTGTTGCTGGTATGCTCCTAACTGAATTGCTGCTTTCTCCCTTCTTTCTTCTAGCAGATCCAGATCTCGGGCCAAGTATGCCTCATTGGTCCTGTTTTCTACTCCCTGGGTTCTGATCCCTGGGATGCCTTCCTCCAATGGAATAACTGCTTCTGTGCCATAAGCCATGGCAAATGGGGATTCCCAGTTGATCTTCTCGGCGTAGTCCGATATGCCCAGAGTACACTGAGCAACTCATCCACCCACTTTCCCTTTGCTGCTTCCAGCCTCTTCTTGATCCTATCCAAGATAACCTTATTGGATGCTTCTGTTTGACCATTTCTCTGAGAAAAGCTTGGAGTAGAGTAATAATTCTTGATCTTGTACTTTGCACAGAAGCTTTTAATTAGCTTACTGTCAAATTGTGTTCCATTATCTGCTATTATTGCTCTTGGCATGCTAAACCTGGTGATGATGTTTTTCTATATGAAGTTTTTTACATCAATGTCCTGAATCTTTGTAAGGGGTTCAACTTCAACCCACTTGGTGAAGTAATCTGTTGCCACTAGCAGGAACTTCCCTTGTTCACTCGCTTGAGGCAGTTGTCCAACAAGGTCCATGCCCCATTGGGCGAATGGCCAAGGGCTGGACACTGGGTTCAGATCTGCTGCTGGTTGGTGTATCAAAGGTGCAAACCTCTGTCACTTCTCACATTTTCTGACATAGGCTTCAGCATCTTTCTGTATATAGGGCCACCAGTATCCCTGAGTAATGGCCTTATGAGCAAGTGACCTACCCCCAGTGTGGCTTCCACATACTCCTTCATGTATCTCATACAAGAAGTCTTCAACTTGTGAAGGATGCACCTGCACATATATTAAGATAGGAAACAATCATTACAAATACTCAAAAAAAAAAAATTGGTCTTGTTATTTTATAGTTTAGCAATATCCAGTTTATAATTGAACCAGCTATCACATAAACATTACTCTTCTCACATTTTTAGCTGCAAAATCACTAATGAAGCTTGCATAATCAAATTTATCCACCATATCCTTTTCAATAGATAACAAAGCTAACCCATTCAATCTTTCTTGTGACATAATTGACCAAACATAAAATTTGATTAACTTCAACTTTGAAAAACTTCTTTCTCCAGAGGCCACTGTAACAGGTATAGTTAACAAAATTCTATACACAATCCATGCATTTGGGAAACAACCATCAATTGTTTTCAAATAATTTAATACTTCAATTGGCCTTTTGATTCCTTCCGGTAAAACTTCTTTCAAGACATTCAACTCTAAAAATAGATCTCTCCCATCAATATCAGAAAGTTCATCATGTTTCAGAAAATCTTCAAGATTAACACAATAAGTCTTCAAACATTCCTTGTTGGTAGAACTCAACTTTTTCAAATCAAACAAAAATCCAAAATTTTCCTCATATACTTGAAATTATTCAAACCTACTCTTAAGTGAAGAAAGAGCTTGATCAATTATATACATAAAGTAATTAACTCTAAAAGATTCTTCAGCAGCCTGTGTCACCTCTTCACTAACATTCTCATCAAATTGCTTCTTTCTGCGAATGACATGCTTTTCACAAAATACTGGATCAATTTCCATTAGAGTAGCAACTTCTTTTGCCTCAATCATGGCATCCAAAAATCCAGTTTCTCTATACTTTTCAAGAAAGGTAATGAGTCCTTTTAACTGAATTATAGCAACATCAATATGCATGTCTTCCCTTTGAAATATTTTGCTAACTGAGTTAACTGCAAACAATAAATTGTGCCAAATAATCATGCCAAGCAAAAATTCAAAGTTCTCAATTTCATATGTTGCTAAAGACTCAGCTTCACTCTTTGTATTGTGGGGTTCACCAAGATTTGCCAAATGATTTAAAGCATCTCTTATTTGTGGAGCTTGATATCTTATTGCTTTAACACTTTCAACACGACTTTCCCACCTTGTTTGTGACAATGGCTTCAATGTGAGACCTTCCACATGATCTTTGAAAACTTTCCACCGCTTTGTAGAAGATGAAAACAATAAATATATACGTTGTAACACTCCAAAAAAAGAGATAGCTTTGGGACAAGAGTTAGCCATATCACAAAGTGCAAGATTAAGACTATGACAACCACATGGTGAGCCAACAACTCAAAAGGATGATAGTTAAATACATGTTGTCAAATGCCACAATTTTAAGTAACAGACAAGCATAAATAACCTAAGGTGTCTGCAGGTTTCAAAACAAGAATAGTAAGACATGGAAGAAATATTATGGACCGTAAAAATGCTATAAGTGGGTATAAACCAAGTTGTACAGACAACCAACGGAAATGACTAAGGATTAAATGAACATCTAGCAAACAACTTTTTTAGTCCTATTGATAGGAAAGACAAACTCATTGGGTAGAAAAGAAGTTAAATAAAAACCTACAAATTGACAACTTTCTTCCTCCAAAGTCACTTGTGCACAAAAGTACAACCAGCAAAAGCCCAGTCATTGATTATATTTAATACTTAATAATACCATAAAGAACCTTCTGTCAAGTGCCCGGGGGTTACCCGAAAGCGTTAAACAGTTCAGAAAAAACACCCAAAATATGTACAAACACGGTCTAAAACAATTTGCCAAAACAGGTGAAAGTTGGGATTAAAGGTTAAATTCGATTTTTCTACTGAGAAATTCATAAGCTAGCACATTCCAATTTTCATCATTGGGTGTTCAGAAGAAAGCACCAAAATCTTAAGGCCGGTCAAAATGGGGCGTCTACACTTCCCTCCTTCATAAACCTTCAAACTTGAGAGAGGACATGTTCTCTATAAAATGCATATAACTTGACCTTTTCCAGTGCTCTGTTAGGATGAAAGTGCATCTTAATTCAACCCTGGATTAATGATTGAGTTGAGTGTACCACTTTGAGAAAAGTCACAAAGATAATATGTTGCTCAGTGCAAAAGCGGATTATGATAAAAACTGCATGAAGCATATAAGAAAAGAGATGCTTAAAGATGGCAGATCTTCCACATATGTTTGCACATCCTCAAGCACAGATTACCTGTGAAATTTCTTCAGGAACAGACATATTCCACAATATAGATCTTTCAATTGGATTTGGTGTTATCCGGAATGTAAGACCTTTCTCCGCAAACCTTGTAAGTAGGTGTCCTAAACTACGAAAGTAAAAGCTTATTCAGCACATTATCAGATGTAGGGAGTAGATGACAGTACCATGAATAATCTACGTCCAACTGAACTGAAGAATATTAGAAAGGTCATACCTCCAACCGACCCCAGTTCAACTACTTTAGTATCAATTTCAGCCACAACAGATTTTAAAGCAAACTTCCCCTTCTCCCACTTTTGCTTTTCTTTTTGTAATTTTTTCAGCTCTGCAGCCTCAGCTTTCATAGCTGCTTTTTGCAACTTCTCTTGCTGGACAATGTACATCAATCAGTTCATACATCTAGAAATGTACATCAATTAGATCATACATAAAAGCAAGCTTAAACCAAATTAAGTAGTATTAGTGAAAGACTCACTTCTCTCAGTTGTTTCTTTTCTTCCTTTAAGCGAATTTTTTCTTCCTTTGTCATCCTCTTTTTTCCGTTTCCTCCATCCACATTTTTTTCCATATCTGCACTGACCTTACTTCTACTATTCTGTCTCAAAAGATTCCCCGTTGACTCCAGTCTATCAATTTCTTCATCAAGAATATCATTTACCTAAACAAAATTTCCTCATAATATTGCCAACCACCAAATAAGAATATGACAAATATTAACATGATCTGTTCCATATACACTGCAATAAAGATTTTTTGAAAAGGAACTCAAATTTAGAAGTATAACACAAGAAAAAGCATAAAAATGCAGCCATAGGATTACAGAAAAAACCATAATCATTTCTCTGAACAACTTTAACAATAATCTAATCCATAGTATTGTAGCACAGGAAAGTCCTAAAAAGTGTAACAGCAACACTTAATATTGCCAAATTCCTAGAAAGTACACAAAATCACTGCTCTATTTTCTATGAATTAGGTGCTAGACTATGTTCTAAGTTGGTGAGATTCTGGAAATAGTAAACAAAACTTACCCGTCCAAAAAACTACAAAAATAATTTGCATAACAACAATAGAGAATTAGTTATCTGGAGAACTTCTTTAACTCTTAAAAGCTTAACCTAATTCACACTCACTAGAATTCCATTTTTAGTGCATTTAGTAAGAAAGTTTATTTAAGAGAATACAGAAATTCTATTCGCACACCACAGGAAACCTTTCTACACACCATTTGAGTTGTTTGGATATAAACTTTTGAACAAAAGTCAAATGTTCGGACATTTGAACAAAAATGAATTGTTCAGATATACATTACATTCAACTGTTTGTGTCCAAACAACTACTTATTGTTCATAAGATCATGTCAGAACATGTGACTTTTGTTTGGAAGTTCATATTTGAACGGCATAAATAGTGTGTACTGCGCCTTTTTGTGATGTGTGAATAGAATTACCCAAGAGAATACCTATGTGGAACAGATTTAGAAAACTTGGACTAATGCTGCCTGGTGGCATAGGGCAAAAGAAAGCTATAGGTTTAGGATTCTAAGATTAAAGAGAGGTTCTAAGGTTTGTAAATGAAATGAGGCTGAAACTTGCTTGCGTCAAAAATTGTCACATTGCTGGATCTTCCAATATAAATGTTGCAAAAAACACTGGACAGCCACCAAGTTAAGATTTTTAAGTATTAAATTTATGGCCAAAAGGTAGGGAAGCTTTTAAGAGTTTAATAGGACCAGATATGCTATGATTTTGAGGCTAAAAAGGGATGATTGTCACCCATCAGGCAGCCACTAAGTTAAACTTCTCCTGATGTCAGCAATCTCAAGTGTTGACAGAATGATCATCTCCATCAGGCCAAGTTAAATTTGACGACGAGACGCAGTTGTAGATAATATATGGAACAAGAAAAAAAGGAAATGATATAAAATTAAAATAAAAACATATTATCATCATACTCAACGAAGAACTACCTGGGGGATAACATCTTTAGAAGACATTAGATGCAAAGAACTCTCCCCAGACATTTGTGTTAAATTCTCATGCCCTGGTAATCCTTCTTCCGTACCTTCCACAAAAACATATAACAGCTGATTCCAAATAATGGGTATTTTCCCTCTTTTTCAAGATTCATCCCCGAGTTCAGAAGTTCCAGAATCACATACGAAAAAGTATTTTGACTAACTGAACTTACCAAGAGAAAATGCAGATCCAATGAGTCTGGAGCTAAATTCTGAATTGTTTACCACATCAAAAGCAATACCCAATGTCTCATCATGCTTCCAATTTCCCTTCCCGGAACTATTTTCAGACTCATTGTCAGACTCCAAACATATTAATCCACTGACTCCTGATGAATAAGAAAACAGGTCCAATAAAATCCACTACATTCTTCAGCTACAGACACATAACCATTATCAAAATTAACATTTTAAACCCACCAAAAAATTTTAACCATAACTGCACTAAAACCCATTTCATTACCAATCCATAAAAACTTGAAACAGAGACACCAAAAGTATAACATTCTTGCGCTACAAAAATACATAGATTGTATGCTAGTATATTTGGTGTAACTTATGCATTCAGCTTATGAGACAAAATTATTAGGTAGATTTGAAGGGTATGCTTTTAACTTCTGCATTTAGGTTACAATTAGCTATTAGTTTGCCAGAAGTTGCATCAAACAGAACCCTTATTGTTTTGGCCAAATGAATTTTATGTGGTGAAATTGCAGTAACGAGAATTGTCTTGACAACTTATGTTCTCATCAATATATCAATATAAAAAACTAAAAAACACAAACATAGACATGACACGACACGAACACAACAATTTTTTAAAAATCCATAACACAACACGTGGTGGACATGCATAAAAATATAGTTTATATATTTATTATATCATATGTCATATATATAAATATATCATTGAAAGATAATTTTAATAAATGGTATGACAACACTAATTTCTATAAATTTACATCATTTTTCTTTTATCATTCTATCCTAGGTTATTTTGCTCAACCTTATAATTTGTTTCATGTGTGTCTAATCCATGGACACTTGTCTTCTAAGTGTTCAAAGAGTGACTGGGTCTTAAAAAAATCTAAAAAATCAAACACGTTTTTTACGAGTGTCGAACACGTGTTAGGAAGTGTTTAACGAGTGTCAATGTCCGACATAGAGATGTCACCTTCTAGAAGTGTTCGTGCTTCTTATAATCTATCTAGAATTAATTAAAAAAACAACCAAAAAGAAACTATAAACCCTCAAAATTTAACTCTACTATAAAATCCACCAACAAAAAAAGAAGTGTCACAACCTTCTCGTACATCCATTAATGAATAGACTAAAGTAAGGTTAGCTTAAATTTATGCGTGGTCATCTCTGCATCTTCAAAAGTACATCAATTTCTTTCTCTCTAAACACACCACATTAAGAACATAGGAGCCACCATCCATGCCTCAACTCTTTTCACTTGGCACCATGGGCCTAACAATCATATAATTGTAACACTGAAGTTGGCATAACCTAACTCATTCTGAAAAGACAAAAACAAAAAACTCTATAAATCTCTAACAAAATCACAATGACTCAAAAGATATCAACTAAATCCTTCTCTTATTTGCACACATAACACTGATTAGGGAAAACCCACCTTCACACTCCCTGTACAAACAAAAAATGCTACTTTGGTAGAAACCTCTAGTTTCCAAATAAACTTTCATGAAAATGAGACATCCCTTCACGATATATGAGAGAATAGAATCCTCTAAATATGAATTTTCCTTGCATCCTTCCATTTCTATTCGTCTACTCTACACCCATTGACCATTACATTGTATAGTTGCTCTAAGAAAACCTAAACCATATCTAACTACCAATTCTAAAAAGATCAAACAAAACATTGTTCCCATACAAAGCATGGTTCCCAAATCATCTTTGTTAGTTGCAATACGATATAGCTCTGCTAAAGGCCTAGACAAAGGAGCATCCCCACATCAGACCGCAATCCAAACTCTTACCTTACAACCATCACGTTTTTTTTGTTATGTATTTGGTTACGATTTAGGTGTAGAGTTGTGAAAGTCGTATGGAGTTTCGAGTTATGCGTTTGGTTATGCGTTTTAAAAATAATTTCATAATTGACTTTTGTTTTATGTGTTTGGTTACGATTTGAGTGTAGAGTTGTTTTTAAATTTAAAATATTAATATTTGAAATTATTTAAAATTTTTGAATATTTAAATTATTTAAATTTTTACGATTTAAATTTTTTGAATATTTATTTTAATTTTTTACTTTTTAAATTTTTTAGATTATTTAAATTATTTAAATATTTATGATTTTAATTTTTTGAGTATTTATTTTGAAAAAAATTTATTTCCTCTGTAGTATTTTCAATTAAAAAATTGATTAATGTTATTTTCTATTAACAATAATTTTTTTTAATAGAATTCTAAAAAGAGTTTGGTTATTAGTGTTGATCAGAATTTTCAATAGTGTGAAAGTAGTATGTTTTGTTTTGAGTTATAATAATTTGAATTAAGTTTTGAAAACTCTTTCCAAAACTCATAACCAAAAATTTTTTCTTACTTCGCATGTCAGATCAAACTTTCAAAACTCAATTCCACACTCTATTCAAAAACTATAACCGAACAAATTTTCTACACTCAAATCATAATTCCATAACTCACAAACTCAAAATACAACTCATACTTTCAAATCATATTTACAAAACTCTACCAAACGTAACCTAAAATTATGTATTATTCAATACTCAAGATCTAAGAATAATTAAAACAAAAAATAAAAATTTAAAAATTTTGCCAAACGGGCCTTACGAAGTTGAAATCGAGACGTAATATAATTTGTTTTTATCAATTTAAATAGAATGGTTCACGACACTAGAACTATTATAAAACTACACAATTCAAAGGATTTGTAAATTCATACCAACTCAACTCGAGTCAATGCCCGAACCCACAAACAAATTAAGAATATTATTTAACAGATATCCAAAAAAATAATAAAGAAATAAATTCAATTTGATTCAGCTCGTTACAAATATATTATTAGCATCACAGTTATAAGAAGTATGTTATACAATGGTATTATTAAATTTTCAAAAATATCCCATGGCTTTTACTCAACCATCTTGCTATAGAGGCTAATAAATTGTGCGCATGACATTAGTAAGGCCAATCATCTAGCCACACAAGATCTTATGTCCCTATTTTTCTCTCCACATATTTCAAATTATTTATTTGTCATACGATAAGTTTGACCGTATAAAAAGAAATGATTTGAGACAATGGGTCAAGCCCATTTTGCCCAATGGGAAAAGCCCGTGTGGTGATTTTTGGATCCAATGGGCCAAGCCCATTTTGCCCTTAACCTCCCTCTCTCTACAAAACTTGGGCACCCATTGGGACACACTCCAAGGTCCAATCCCATGCCTTATAAACCCACTCAAAACTTCCCATCAAATCAATGTGGGACAAGCCATTTTCCGGCCTTGAGGAATTTCCATCAAAACTCCATTTCTATGGAGCTCACTTTGGCTTCAATTTCCCATTCACCCGATAATAGTTTTGAGCAATCAAATATACCACGTGAATCACAACGCGGCATAGAATGCGTTACCACTTAGACCCGCCAAAATAGACGCACGGGTCCCACCTAAATAATAGACCAAAGTTAGGAAAAAATTCTGCTTTTACCCAGAATTTTTCAACCATTTCCAACAAATTGTTATACAGTAGGGATTAGTTTTAGGTGTGAAAGTATTTTATGGAAAAACTTGAATGTTTGATTATGATGCTTGCATTTAGACACGACCCTGTACATTCAGGTACATGAAATATTATTGGTCATTCAGATTTTTCAGCTCTAAGATTGTGTTTTTCTATCCCGATCTAATCATGGTCGATTCTCATTATTGAATCTATTGATAACCTGACTAGTAAATCTATTTGTCCAAAAAAAAAAAGGGTCAAAAAATTTATTGAGAATATGATTATGTGGGCTGTCTTTTTTAATAAAAAGACGCTTCTATGATGAAGGAGGCATTGTGGACTGTCTTGTACATTATTTGTAGCCGTCCGTTCATGTCGAACACATAGCCCAACTACCACCTTGAGGCATGGACAACACATTGCCCAGCCAACACCTAGAAGTATTGTCCGCTTTGGCCTAAGCATGATAGCTGGCAAGCCGCACGGATTAATTCCTTTGATTTTCCAAGGACGCCTCCACAATGGAAGTGTCCAATGCTATCTTATAAGTCTATTCTAAATATTATCTACAATCGATGTGGGATGGGAACACATATTTCAAACAAAATAATTGAGAATATTATCCGCAATCGATGTGGGATGGCAACCCATATATTTGAAACAAATGATATAATAACAAATATATAGCTTGGACATGAACTTTGAATACATCATATTAATATTTTTCCAAACTGGTGTCGTTCAATGGTCAATTTTGTTGAATTATTTTAGAAAATTTGAAGTTATTTTCAAATTTTCAAAACTTTAATTTATATTTCTTTATTTATCTTGATGAAACTTTGTCCCACGTAAAAAAGAAAGGATAAAAATAACGTATTAATAAATGAAGTTTTCAAAGTAATTTTTAAATCAAAGAGGTTTGATGATTTAAACCAAAAAAGCATTTCGACGGTGGAGGTATTGTTGATCAGGAGTGATAAAAAAAAATTTATTAAAAAATCTACATCAATAAATTTTTATTTTAACTTCACAAATGGTTGATATATATATATACATTTTTAATAAACTTAAATAATTTAATAGGTATAAACTGTTAGTTTTTAAAATTTTAATCATATAATATAATCTTATGAAATCAAATAGAAATCTCGACAAGATCGATCAAAATTCTAATATTTAGAGCTTGTTTGGCATGAGGGCTTTTGATGAAAATAGTCAAAATGTCAAAACATCCAATCACATCACTTTCTTTACTTTTTACAAATCTTTTCTTAAAACATTAAAAAATCAATTAAAATAATAAATTCTCAAATAACCCCTAATGTCTTTTTTCACCTCTCCATTTGTTTATATTAATCGTAACTAATAGATTAAAATTTTACAATACATATGGCACGGTTGTTTGCTTGGTGAGCGCTATATATGAACTTAATATTCATTTCATCAACTTTTTTCTATTATAATTTGAACTCTCAAAATTATTACAGAGGTGTGAACCAAAATGATAAGCAAATAAGTCTCAAAAATTAACGCTCCGTTTGGAAAGCCTCTCAAAATATGGTTCCACCCATTGATTTGAGTGTGTTGTTTGTTTAGAGCTTTCAAATCATAATTCTACACCCATTTCTCAGAACTCAATTTAAAAC